TTTAATAACATGTTCACACATTCTATATGTGAGCCAGCTTATAGCTATACCCACACAAATAATATCAGTTTTACCGTTCTGTTTTGACATAGAAGAACGAAATCTCATGAGAAAATGACAGATGTTTCAAGTGATACTGATATTAAGAAGATACCATTACAGGTGACTGAAGAGGCATCCTATAAGTAATAAAAACAGCCCTATTAAAAGATAGCAGTTTGCAGGGTGCTGATAAATTGCTCTGCTCCTTTTGGTGTTGGTGTGAAGCAAGTCAGTGTAAATAGCCTCCCACATAATAACAGACTTGGGTGGCAGAGAACAGATAAGGTGACGGGGTGATATGGCTGTGGAAAGGGCTTGTATATTGATAGTCATCTTCCAGTTCTGTCCAACCATGAAATTAAATACATGATTGACTCACCTCCCCATTAAGAAAGCAGTAAAATACCGACACAAAGAATCCCTGTTAGAAAAAAAAAAGTCATCAGTTAAACAGTCACCTTAATTAACAAAACATTGCTATATGTAAATAATAGAATTGAAAAATGATTTAAAAATGTGAAGATTATAATTAAATATGCCATTGTGATGGACACAAGACACAGTAGTCCATAGCACAAAATATAATATTTTTGGCCTTTTTTAGATGTAAAGTACAAGAGTATGGTGGTTTGACAGTGGGTCTTATACCACAGGCATATTCTCACAAAAAAACAAAACACCAACAACAAAAGAACTCCCTGGAACAAAGCTCCATCCAAGAATAATTGGCACAAGGTGTCAGCTCCACTTCTGAAGACCAACTGCAGCAAACAATCAAAGGTTGCTGGGAAATAATGTTGTCCGGGGAAACAAAACTATTTTTCCACATTTGAAGCCCTTAAAATATTCATGAGAGCAGAAGAGGAGATAGACTCCAGATCTCTTCAGACAGAATGAGAGCAAGAGATCCCACTCAAAACGCAACCTAAGACCAATAATGGTCTTCAAATATCTCGCACAAAATCTTGTGCAATTTTGGCATCTCTACAGTTCTTTCAGGTGCACATGACAGACACAAGAGTAAACAGAATTGCACTCAGTAATTATGACACCAAACACACTAGGGAAATCACATTGATTGCATAAAAGCAATGGCTCATGCATCATCCCATGAAGGACTCAAACCTGCAACATTTCTGTTATTAGGCTTTCCCTAATAGCTAATAATTGGAGCTTTACCCAATGGACGAGACCTCCCACAAGTTTGGCATGTTACAGACCAATTTGAGTAAGAATACATATAAGGACTTAGAGACATCGCTATAAAGTAGATGGCAGTTATCCTTATTTCTCCTGTTGTCAGAAATAAAAATAGTCATCCGTTTGCTGTTGC